TCCTCCGGCGACCCCCCGGGTTCCACGCCGCCTTTCCAGAAAACACTGTGTGGCAACTGCGTAGACCTGTCTACGGTCTGAAGCAGGCACCTCGGGAGTGGCATGCGAAGCTGTCTGCCACCCTGGGATCCCTTGGCTTCTCTGCCTCCCATTCTGACGCCAGTCTCTTCCTTCGCTCCTCCCCTCGCCGCTTCTTCATTCTGGTGTATGTGGATGACATGATCCTGCTCGCTGACTCCAAGACTGACATGGCGCAGATGAAGCAGCAGCTGCAGCAGCGCCTCAAGTGCAAGGACCTGGGCGACCTCACCCACTACCTTGGCATGGCTATCACTCTGGACCGTCCCGCTCGCACCATCACCCTCTCCCAGTCTCATTACATCGGCCAGATCTTGGAGAAAATCGAGATGACTCAGGCCATTCCCATAGCCACCCCCCTCCCTTTCGGCCACCAGCTTGCTCCGCCCACCTCGCCCTCCTCCTCCTCTCACCCTTATGCTGAGCTCGTTGAGTCGCTGATGTACGCTATGATGTGCACCCGTCCCGACCTCGCCTACCCCATCAGCGTGCTTGCTCGTTTTGTTGGCACTGGTCGCCACACCGAGGTGCACTGGAAAGCTGCTAAGAGGGTCCTCCGCTACCTTCGCGGCACCAAGGACCACACCCTCACTCTTGGTGGCTCCTCCCCTCCCCTCCTTTTGGGCTTTAGCGACTCCTCCTAGGCCGACTCGCAGCCCGACCGCCGCTCCTCTCAAGGCTACGGCTTCACCCTCGGCAGTGGCCTTGTTAGCTGGCGCTCCACACGCTCCTCCTCCGTTTCCCTCTCCTCCTGAGAGGCTGAGCTCTACGCTGGCACCATGGCCGCCTAGGAGTCCCGCTGGCTCTGCTTTCTTCTTTCTGAGCTTGGCGCTCCTCAGCCCTGCCCCACCCTCTGGTGTGACAACGCCAGCACCATCCACCTCATCAGGACCCTGTCTACCACGCCCGCTCCAAGCACATCGAACTCCGCTAATTCTTCATCCGTGAACTCATCCAGCGCGGCCTTCTTGCAGTCCGCAAGATTGCTGCCGAGGCCAACTTGGCCGACATCTTCACCAAGGCTCTCCTTCGCCCTGCGCACTCTGCTCCCCTCCGCCTCATCGGCCTTGCTCGCCCGGGCGCCCCTTGATTCAGGGGTTGCTCCCTTCCTGTGTTCGCATCCTAAGGGGTTGTGTTAGAATTCCCATGTTCTAGCATGCTAACACTTGTGACTGTCACCAATTGTGGTGTATTGTTGGGTTGGGACTACACCCAACTTTGGGTGTAGTCTTGCATTTTGGGGTGCCAATCTAACCCAATTGTGGTGGAGCCCCCAAATGCAACCCTATGGGCCATAGGTTGCCCCACTTCACAAAGTGAGGCCAACCCAACCCAATGGGCCATAGGTTGCCCCACTTTCCAAGTGTGGTCAACCCAACCCATTGGGCCATAGGTTGGCCCACTCCCCCAAGTGTGGTCAACCCAACCCAATGGGCCATAGGTTGGCCCACTCCCCCAATCCCACCTCCCTCCTTTCCCTTCCAACCTTCTCTTCCCAAACCTATGTATGCTTGCCAATTTTCCTAATCAAGTTAATGGTTCAATTTCCTTTCTTCACAGTCCATTCGCTTGTCTTCTATGCTTAGTTCCAGCTGTGAGGCCGAGATCTACGCTGGGGCTATGGCTGCGCAAGAGTTACGCTGGTTGACCTTGCTGACTGACTTGGGTGAGCGACCTCGTTCTCCTCCACTTCTGTATGTCGATAACAAGGTGATGATTGCCTTGTGTCGCAAGGAGAGACTGGGGCACAAAACAAAGCATTGCTCTTCGTGACTTTATCGCTCGAGAGTTGCAGCAGCGTAGTCAGCTTCACCTTGCTTATGTGGTTTCCCAGGCCAACACTGCTCATATCTTCACCAAGGCCCTAGGGTTTGGTGATCATCAGCGTTTCTGCACTGCTCTAGGCCTTGTGTCTATTCTGTCTCACTTGCTTGTCTCTTGACTTTGCCTTGTACCGTGATCTATATATATACTTGCATGCTTACTCTTGCTAGGTTGTGGTCACTGTACTAGTTGTTCTACTCTATCACTGCATCTGGACTGACCTTGTGGCCGCTTGCCTATGCTCAGACTGTGTGTTGACTTCATGATCCACCCTGAGCTTACTGTGTTTCTTCTCTTGACTGGTCTTGTGACCACTTGCTTGTCTTGATCTTTTTGATGTCCCTCACTTAGCCTTTGGGGGTGTGTCAGATTATATTAAGATTAGTGTCTAGGTTGTAGTAAGATGCTTAGGGGGTACACAAATACTCTCGATAATTTGCTTGTATCCCCCTCTTCACTAAATCTAACCATTCCTAGTCTACTATTCTGATAGTGCGCAACGCGCAACCCCTCCACTAGCCCTGTCCTTGCACGCATCTCCAGTGTTCTCCCGTGTCCGGCAACCCCCTCTAGTTCCCTCACAGGTCTCCACATCCCCTCGTTCGCTACGAACTTGGTGAGTACCTCGCACCTACAGTACATGATGGTCACAACCACCACTCCTGGAGGCGAGCTCGTGGCGAGCTGTACGGACACGGTGACTGGAGACCATTTGGCTATGTTCACACATCGGCCTGGGTCTGGACTGTACACACAACACACTGAATCTGCTCATGTGGCTGCGTCAGGTCAGGTAGATGCGTCTTGCTCGTGTCGGTTACTCACGCACCCGTCGCTCCTCTGGCACCACCGTCTTGGTCACCCCTCCCTGCAGCGTCTGTGTCGCATGCACTTTCGTCTCCTTGTCTCTGCCCCCCCGCATGTCAAAATAGGCTAGGCTTAGGCTTGGTTAGGTTTGGGAATCTTAGGAGTCATGGTGAGAGTATTGAGAGGAACAAGAGTTGGCCAAAGAGGTTCACTATGAGGGTACAAGATACAGTATAGGCGAGAAACATGAAATAAGAGGTGCACCACCAACATGGTTTGTATAACTACACTAGAGCTAAAGCTACAGGCAGTTATAGATATATATGAAAATATATATTACGACACACCCCCTAACTGCCTGCAACACAAAGCTAGAGCAATTCACACCCCCTGAAGGGCTACAACAGGCAGCAGAAGCAGCAGCAGCAGGAAATAGGAGTGGCAGCCAATGCAGTGGTGGCAGATTTAGCTGCAGAAAATTTTCAGCCACGGCAGATGCAGCAGCAGCGGGTGCAGGGGCAGCAGGGCGTCTGGAGAGGGAGTGCGTCCGGCGGCAACAGGCGGCGGCACAGCAGGGCTCAACGGCAGCAACCGCGCTCACCAGCAGCAGGCAGCAGCAGTAGGTGCAGATGGCAGCAGGGGCGGCAGCTGGAGGTGCCACGGTTGCAGCGGGTGGCAGCTGCAGATGCCTGGCTGACTCCTGCCACCCCCTCACCCTCCCCCCCACAGCGGCATGTGCGGCAGTGAGAGAGAGAGAGGAGGGGCAGCTGCTGGTGCGGCACAATCTCTCCCACCACCTCCTCACCCTTCCCCCCTTCCCCAACAGCGACAGGCGCTGCGGGGAGAGAGAAGAGAGAGGAGGTGCGGATGCCGCTAGCGGGTACACTCCAGCCACCTCCCCATCACAGCAGGTGCGGATGCCACTGGCGTTAGGCTGCACGGAACGGGGCCAGTAGTGCGCTGACGGGCAGCGCGTGCGGCGGGCTGCACGAAAAATCCTTGTTATTTATTTCGTGATGAATAATACACTATTTTTTTCAAATAAATCAATATTCTTAACTGGCGGAACTGAAATAGACCCACTTCCATTTTGTAGACGGTTTTTTTTTTGCTGGGTTCTCTCTTCTATTGCCGATTTGTTACCGGTAAGAGTTATTTCCTTGTACTGTCATTTTCCGGAAATCAGTCTTTAAGGCGGATCCTTCCTTCCCTCACTGCCTCACTACCCTCATTCCCACCTCTCCCTACGAGGCGCCGCGCGTTCAGTTCGTGACCAACAACCAACTCAAGCACTGTCGCAATAGCCGTGACGAGCCACTTAGGGCGTGTGCCTTTTTTGATTTTTTTGTGTTTTCGCGGACAGTCCACTTGATCGAAGCGGACGGTCCCAATAGCGGGTACCGGACAGTCCATTTCGAAAATTCGAAACTGCAGACTGTCCGAAGGCAAAAACGTGACTTTTCTCTACATCTGAAACTACCGAAGTACTGTGCACTCGCTAGAGCTACTGTACCATCGTAACCCCAGTCACACACTCTCGCCAGTTTCGCTCACCACACGGCGGCTCGATTTCAAACATTTCACACCAACCCAGCTCACCACACAACTCGACACATCGAACAGATCTAGAGGGAGCGGGGGTTCAGCATGGGGACTTTGACTAGAGGTGTTCGGGGTGGTGTTGGCCGGTTCAGAGTTGTCATCTGCGCTTGAGTGCTCCATTGCAGGCTGAGTGTGAGGGTTCAGTTCGGATTGCTGGGGCCTTTGTACTGTTGGTGGGCTAGGGGGTGATGTGAACGTTCAATGTTCAGTCGCGAGGCGCGGTCCTCAAATAAATTGTACATGCGGCTCGGTTTTTGTTTTTCGAGACCTTCGCGCGCCAATCCAGTGTCAGAACTGTGCCTCCGTCCGTTTGCAATTCGAACTGCCAAAAGTTCAGAATGTGAACCGTTGCTTGGAGGAAAAAGTGACGCGACGGTTCGAACCGCTGGCGACGTCGCCAACACCTTCACGAAACATTCACGACAAGTGACGAAACGGGTAACATTTTTGCAAATCGGACGGTCCACGTTTCGAACCGTCGGGAGCAAAAAAGGCACACGCCCTTACCTCGACAGCTGAAACCGCCGTTACCTCAGCAATAATTTAGTACCGTACCTGATAACGGTGTAACTTTCAGCATAAGCAGCCCGACAGCAGCAGCAGCGGCTGCAGCAAGTGCAGGCCAATCTCACCAGCAGCAGCAGCAGCATTTCATTCTCGTACCTACCTGGTGGTAACGGCAAGGTACGATGTGGTACTTGGCGTATTTCATGCATCGCCACCTCGACTTCCGCCTCGACGAGCTGCAGTCCCTCGCCGTCCTCGCTGGCGTGCAGCCGCCAGCTCAGCACGCCGCGCCACGTCACGATGACGTGGAATTGCGGCCGCCTGCCAGCTCGGATTCATCGGAGGGAGAACGAGGCGGAGAGAAGGGAAACGAAGGGGAGAGGGTGGTTGAGGAAGTGAGGGGAGACGAAGGCAGCGAGGAGACGAGGAGGGGAGAAGAGGGGAGTGCAGTTACTGCAGTCGAAAGGGGAGAGGATGAGGATGAAATATCAGGAGGAGGGGAGAGCGAGTGGGAGCCAGTAAGATGGAGGAAGCCACGTGGCGATCACATGGACTCGCCGTTCTTCTACGTGGATCTGCCGTCTGATGACGTGGCGAGGCAAATGGCCTCTAGAAGTGAGTCGGCGATCAACACGATTTCCTGAGTCACGCAGTCGCTAGGCGCCTACATAGAAAATACTAGGCTGACAAAAAGCTCGCAGGACTTAAGCAGCCAGTGCCTTGCCAGACCTTCTTTTCCTGTTAGAATGGCCTTCTTATATGCACGGATCCGAGTCACTACGAAGCTTCGAGGTCCGAATTCTCGCCGCCCTCATTTTAGCAGTTGAGAAAGTCGACTCTCTAAACCCTACAGTCGAGAAGAGGCATTTCCGCTTCTAGGGTTTAGCGATTGGCTCGTAGAGGTTCAGGGGTTAGGCGATCATAAGGCGCACCTCTAGTTTCGCGGACGATGGACGAGAATTGTGGTTGAAAGGGGGGGGTTTCCAGCTTGCAGGGCTCAGAGTTTTTTTATTCGTCTGTTGGAGGGGTTTTGGGAGTTCGGATGGAATCGTTTTATTGGCTGACGCTGAATCAACGACCATACGCCCTCGCACGTGCCATGGCTCCTCATTCCGACTCCCATGTTTGCCACTCCATCACGTGCCCTTTGCTCCCCATCATCACAGACTCTTGCCTGCTGGATGTGATCTCTACACACTCCCCATTCCTCCCTTCCTATCTCCGCACCCACTGTTTGCTTGGAGGCTAAGCTCGTGACAATTCCTTCTCCCACACTCTCTCCTTCCCTTCTCCCATCTCAACATCCCACTCCTGTCCTCTTCCCCTCCTCTCCACCTCCTACCCCCCCTAGGCCTGCTTATAAAGGGGATATTCGACATATGGGCGGAGGCGCCAACCTACGAGGCCCTAAAGCCGCAGGTGCAGGCGAACCTGGCTTCCAAGGTGACGCCCTTCACAGCCCCCGGCTACACGTTCAAGATCGTTGTTGATGGCTTTGGCAAGCTCTTTTCGATGGAGGAGCAGCGGGATCGCATAGAGCGATTCACGTACATCCCCTTCCAGGTGGGTGGGTGGTTTGGATTCCTCACAGGCTCTTGCAATCAATCGTCCCGAACTCGTCTGTCCGGCTGGTTGTGGCGTGCTTGGTGCCTAAAAGGATCTTCTCTCCTTGCTACGGCCCGACACATCCTCTTCGAGGTCAGCTTTGGGTGATAGAGCAGGCAGCCAGCGGCAGCAGCGAGAAGCACCCCCTCATGTCTTCCCTCCTTCCGTTTTGCTCCTCCCATCCCCACTTTACCTTGGCATGGCAAGTACTTTGCTGTCCTCCTTCCTTCCACTGTCCACACCCGCAGGTAGCCGTATTGGACCATGAAGTATCAGCTGAGGGGCTGGTCGTGACCCGGTCCACTCTGTTGCCTCACGTGTCCCCTCCCCATCCCCATCCCCATCCCCCTCCCCATCCCCCCTTACCTTGGCATGGCAGGCAGGGCTGAATGAAGCTGAGCGCGCCAAACCGCATGGTTTGGGGGAAGGCATGATAGAGCTGGCAGCTGCAGACAGCACCAGCAACCCCCCTTCCTTCTCTTCCCCCCACCCCCCCCCCCCCCCCCCCCTTTGCCTGCCTGCCTGCCCTCGCTACCCTCGGTTGCTTCTGCCACATCCCCCTTTTCGTGTCACAGGGCCGAGTGGGGCTGAGCTCCCGCTCTAACGCACTACTGCCTGCCCTAGTCCTAAGTACGCTTGGCAGGGTAAGGTGAAGCTGAGCGCGCCAGACCACAAGTTCTGGGTGATAGAGCAGGCAGCAAACAACACCAACAGCACAGCACCCCCCACCCCCCACCCACCCCCCCACTCCCCGCCCTATCTCCCTCTGCCTGCCTTCATTGCCCTCACTTTACCCTGTTCCATCTCCCCATACGCTTGGCAGGGTCGGGTGAAGCTGAGCGCGCCCGATGACAAGTCGTGGGTAATAGAGCAGGCAGCAGACTACACCAACCAACAGCAACCCACTCTCTCTGCCTATCCTCTTTACTCGTTTTTTCCTGCCCTGTCCCCCCTTCAACTTGGCAGGGCAAGGTGAAGCTGAGCTCGCCCGAGTACAAGTTCTGGGTGATAGAGCAGGCCGCAGAATGCACCAACAACGGCCTCCCCCCCAACATGCCCTTGCGTGTGTTCATTGGCCGAGAGGTGCGTGTTCATTGGCCGAGAGGTGCGTGTTCATTGGCCGAGAGGTGCGTGTTCATTGGCCGAGAGGTGCGTGCGGGGGAGGAGAGGTGTGTGCGAGGGAGGAGAAGTGCGTGAGAGCGAGGAGAGGTGCCTGTTAGTCGCCCCACTGCAGGTAGTCGCCCCACTGCAGGTAGTCGCCCCGCCCATCCCGTCTGTCATGGAAGCAGAGCTACTGCTTTTTGCACTTTCCTGGCTGCACAGGGTCACTGCCCCCCCCCTCCCTCCTTACCCACAGGTAGCCCCTCCCTCCTTACCCACAGGTAGCCCCTCCCTCCTTACCCACAGTTTCTGCTGCTGTGCTTCCCCCCTCCCTCCCCTGCCCACTCACAGGTGGCAGTATCAGACCGCACAGTGGCAACAAAGTACGAGCAGCGAGCTCAGTCGCCGGCGCCACCTGGGCCCACTCTTCTGTCTCACACGTTCCCCCCCTTCCCTCCTGATCTCCCTCCACACCCACAACCACAGGTGGCAGTAGCGGATCGCACAGTGGCAACAAAGCCCGAGCTCAGCCGCCGACAGCACCTTGAAAATCCCCTCTGCTGTCTCGCACGTTTCCCTCCTTCCTCACATATCTCCCCCCTCTCAACACTCACAGGTGGCAGTGTCAGACCGCACAGTGGCCACCAAGTACGAGCTCAGTCGCCGCCAGTACCTGGGCCCCACAGCTATGTACGCTGAGCTGTCGCTGCTCATGTTTCCCTCCCTCCCTACCTACACAGGTAGCGGTATCAGACCGGACCGTTGCCACGAAGTACGAGCTCAGTCGCCGCCGCTACCTGGGTCCCACCGCCATGGATGCTGAGCTGTCGCTGCTCATGGCCAATCAGGCGCTGGCGCGGCGGGGGGCTCTCATGTACGACCCGTTCGTGGGGACAGGGAGTATCCTGGTGGCTGCTGCTCACTTCGGCGCCATCACTCTGGTGAGAGTCACTCATTATCACGTACGATGTTACAACCACATCAGAATATTGTGTGTGGAGCTGCGCGGAGCGCTCATGTACGATCCGTTCGTGGGCACGGGGAGCATCCACGTGCCCGCTGCTCACTTTGGCGCTGTCACTCTGGTGAGAGTCACATTCAGATGAGTCATCATACGAGTAGCACATGGCAAAGGGGCTCTCATGTACGACCCATTTGTTGTGGGCACGGGGGATGGCAAGGGGGTGTGCGTGCTGCCACTGCCACACCCCCACTCCTGTCTCCTTACCACACCCCCGCTCTCTCTCTCCCCCACTGCCACCCCCAGGGAGCGGACGTTGACACCAGGGTGGTGCGGGATGGCAAGGGAATGTTGGCAGTGCAGCTCACACCAATGCTGCCTCTTTCCCCCACTGCCCCACCGCGCCACTCCCTCTCCCCCCTTCTCCACCACCTGTAGGGAGCGGACATTGACATCCAGGTGGTGCGCGACGCGACGGCAAGGGGATGTGTGTGGCGCACACAACCACATCTCCACACCTCACTCCTCCTCTCCCCCTCCTCCCCCCCTCTCCACCACCATCAGGGAGCGGACATTGACATCCAGGTGGTGCGCGACGGCAAGGGGTGACTCAAATCAAATCGACTTCTGAGATGATTCAACGGTCAACTCGCCCCCATTTCCCCAACTGCACCCCTCCTTACCACCACACTCAGGGGGCGGACATTGACATGAGGGTGGTGCGGGACGGCAAGGGGTGACTGTGGTGCACCCACACGCATCTTGTCTCCTTACCACACCCATCTTGTCTCCTTACCACACCCTCACTCCTCATTCCTCCACCACCCCTCTCTTCCCTCCCACCACCACCTGTAGGGAGCAGACATTGGCATCCGGGTGGTGCGGGATGGCAAGGGGATGTGAGTAGTGCGTACAACCAAGTCTCCACACCTCACTCCCCCACCCTCGCTCCTCACTTCCCCCCCCCCCCCCCCCCCCCCCCCCCCCCCCCCCCCCCCCCAACCACCTGTAGGGAGCGGACATAGACATCAGGGTGGTGAGGGACGGCAAGGGCCCCAATCGACTTCTTATATACGCACTCTCCCCCTTTCCCCTCCCTTCCCCCCCCCCCCCGCACACCACCACCACCTGCAGGGAGCGGACATAGACATCAGGGTGGTGCGGGATGGCAAGGGGATGTGACTAGTGTTCATACAACCACATCTCCACACTTCACTACCCCACCCTCGCTCCTCACTTCCTTCCCCCCCCTCTCCCCCCACCCCCACCACCACCTGTAGGGAGCGGACATAGACATCAGGGTGGTGAGGGATGGCAAGGGCCCCAATCGGGACGTGTGGGCCAACTTCCACCAGGTGAGCGTTCAGTGTGCAGCCACCGTATGCGCCTTTCAGTGTGCAGCCACCGTATGCGCCTTTCAGTGTGCAGTCACTGTATGAGTATTGCGGGCATTGTCAGTAATGTGTGCACCAGGTGAGTCAACTCTTTAGCCATCGCCACGATACGCCCCCTCTCCTCCGATTCCACTTGCTGACCCCGTTTTCCCCATTCCCTCATTCCCAGTCTCTCCTTCCCTCTCATTCCCTCCCCTCTCTTCCTCTTGCAGTACTCGCTTCAACCACCAGTGGGGTTACTGTGGGATGACAACAACTTCCCTCCTCGATTTTTCCCACCCCTCTCACTACCCCTTTCCTCTATCCCCTCCTTCCCTCTCCTCCCTCTCCCGATTCTCCCTTGCAGTACTCGCTTCAACCACCAGTGGGGTTACTGCGGGCGGACAACAACTGCCCTCCCTGGAGGCAAGACCTAAGAGAGGTGAGCTTGTTAGGAGCCTCAAAACTGCGACGTTTATTTTAGGCAGCTAAAGAATGAGACGATTTCTCAGGCTCCTCAAAATAATGTGTGAGCGGACAAAAGTTGCCTTCCCTGGAGGCAGGAAGTACGAGAGGTGAGTGCCCCTCTTGCTCCTAGCTCAAGAGGTTTACTCAACACAATCTTTCAGATTCTTGAGCGCCCACCGCCCTGGTCTTTTATCACCATTTGTTGAACTTTTCAGCAGGCAAGCATGTGAGTCGGTAATTACGTTCCTTTCTGAGTGTACTTCCCATTCCCACTTACAGGGAGCGGACAAAAGTTGCCTTCCCTACTTCACCTCGGCTTCGTGAAACCCTTTTTGCTCCCTTCTCCGAAATTGATCCATGTTTCTCCCCCACTGCTCCTCCCTACGGCATATTGGAGGCGGTCAAAACCCCGGGCGTACAACTTCACAGCAATGCTTTGTTTGATTCCTTTCTTCACCAACCTCCCAAATATATATCCATATGTTTCTCTCCCCTTGGTTTCCTCCCCCACCTCCAGATGTTCCATGCCATCATCTGTGATCCTCCCTACGGCGTCGGGGCAGGCGGCCCGGATGATGCTGAAACTCTGGGCATACTTTGCTCCCTCTTCTTTCCCTTGGTTCCCTCCCCCATCTCCAGATGTTCCATGCCATCATTTGTGATCCTCCGTATGGTGTCCGGGCAGGCGGCCGAAAGTCGGGCGGGAGGAAAATTCTCAACGGGGTGACCGACCCGTACTCCATAGCAGACAACCTGAAAGCTGCCCACATCCCCTCCACCGCCCCTTACTCACTCGAAGAGTGCCTACACGATCTTTTAGACACGGCTGCCCGGCTGCTCGTCATTGGCGGGCGGCTCGTTTACTTTTACCCTGCTGCCCGAGAGGAGTATGTGCCTGAGGAAATTCCAGGGCATCCGTGCCTGAAGCTGGTGGCCAATAGCGAGCAGATTCTGACAAAGCGGTGGAGTAGGCGGCTTGTGACTATGGTGAAGGTTGCTCTGTACAGCGATGACATGGCAGCTGCACACGTGGCAGCGCATGAGTGGTTCAGAAAGAAGCAGATTGAGGAGAGTAAGATGATGAGGGAGATGGGGGAGGCAGGGGAGGTTACGGAAGGGGAGGATGAGGGGAGAAGGGACGGGGAAGCGAGCAGGGAGGGATGTGGCAAGGGGGTGAAGCAGGGAAAAGGGGATAAGAAAGCGGAGGGAGAGAGGAGGTCAGGGAAGAATTTTCATGACTTGGTGTTTGCGTCGCGGGCAGATGAGGTGGCAGGGATTCACCAGCAGGCCTCGGTGCGAGGCATGAGGGATGGGAAGGGAGAAGCGGGAGGGAGGGACAGAGCGAATGAGACCGCTCATAGATTATCGCGCAAGGCGGCAAAGCAGGCGTCCAGACCACTGTATCGTGCCAAGTGTGTGTGATGGATGGGGGCAGTGAGGGTGACCTTTGAGTCGACTCAAAGGTCACAACAAATGGGGCCACTCTCAGGTCATCACGCAAGGTGGCAAAGCAGGCATCGAGACCACCGTATCGCGCCAAATGTGTGTGAGGGTACAGCGAGGGTGGATGATTTGGCAGGCTGAGTCACCAGCAGGCTTGGGCCTATGCCCATGAGGGTAGCGAGGGGCACAGAGTATGTGCTGTCTTTCATTTCTAGAGAATCCGAGAATCGATCGTGCAGAATAAGCACTGAATTGTTAGGGCGATTCACACCATGAAGTATGTTATTGCTGATTTAATTGTTATCGGTTTGTTACTATATGCAACTTCCGAAACAGTTGCGTCAGTTTGATGCTCGAGATGTAACGACCAATCAGATATCGCATGATTGCGCCGGGAGTGGGTGAAAGAACTTGACCAGATTCGGCTTGATAAGCCACACAACTCACTGACCAACACGTGGTGGCGCCACGGTGTTCACGTTGTCGGTTGCAGGGTAAGTAGCTTTGGCGGGGGTACTACTAGCGACCCTGCGCTTTCCAGGGAACTACAGTGCTAGTTGCGGGCACTTTCCGCCCCTCCGTCCCTCCAACAGGAAAGTTATTGCAACATCACAGAACTCGGCTCCACATACACCCACGTGCCACAAATTCGCAAGCCACTGGAAACACCTGACCGGAAAAAACTACCGTAATCACCCGGATATAACACCCTAGGGTCTTACTTTAAATCCAGTGAAAAAATGGGGGGGGTCTTCTCAATGGCAAAAGCTACATAACACCCGGGTTCATATATATAGCACATGTTTTTTTAAGCAGAATTGATTGGAAAGAAAAACAGGGTTCTTACTTGACTGGGAAAATGGTGTTTGCGCGAGCGAAATCGAGTATGCGACGATAATGCAACCCCCCACTATAACCTGCCACATGGCAAGTCCCAATGGGCCACCTCTGGCCCTGATTGGGTGAAAACAGTGCTAGCATCGCGCGGCGAGGTTGCATGGGCCCTCCGAGGCTGGAATTCTTCACTGTGCTGCGTTGTCATTGTTTCGGTCACGTCGTGCCCGTTTTGGTCACGTCCCTCTCCCTCAAACGACTCTCATCTTTCGTTTATGCAGCGGCTCCATTGCTCGAATCTGTGTTGTGCTCGGCAGGCTATAAGTGCGCTTCTTTCCCTGTCGCTACTTCGTTAGTTTAAACGCAGTTTAGCTATGGCCAGTGACACCAACCTGCAATAGGTTTAGATGGCAACCTCTCCAGATTCCAGCAGTACGGTAGTTAGACGGCACCGGCCTGTTTACACTCCGTCTCCCGCTGCTGCACGCGCACGCCCGACTCCTCGCCCCTACATGCCTCAGTCGTCTCCTGCAGCCAGTGGCTCTACCGAGGATGAACCGAGCAGTAACGCAGACCGTCCTCGGCCTCCTCTTCCCCGAGTGGCTGTCCCCACTTTTCCGCAACATAATCGCCCGCAGGGACAAGTGAAGCGCAACGCGGATGCAGAGCCTCCTTCCCCGCGGCATCGTATGACGAAACGCGTTCGTCACTCGTACACCGCGAAAGAGAAGCTTCACTGGCTGAAGATGCAAGAATTTCAGCCGGACCTGTCGAATCGAGCTCTTGCCAAGCTCGCAAAGGTGCAACCCTGCCAGATTCGTGACTGGAAAAAGATGAGGGAACGACTGGAGGTCGCTTCCGGATGCCGCCGTCGCCTCATGGGGGCAGGACGCAAGGCGAAGTACCCGTTTATGGAACGGGCGGTCTACCGCCAGTTCCTGAGCCACCGAGCAAAGGGGCTCTCCGTTTCTGTCAACATGCTCCAGAAGTGGAGCGCGAAGTATATGAAGCATCGGATGCCTGGGGTCAATTGGCGCGCGTCGTTCCGCTGGTCGGCTCGTTTCCGCGCGCGGTGGCACTTGGCAAGGAGGGTGAAGATTAAGATGGGGCAGAAGTTGGCAGCGGGTAAGTCTTCGCGTTGAAGTGCGGTCATGGTTCGTCTTCGAACATGTTCTAATGTGCACCGTGGTTCTGAATGCAGATTGCAAGGAGAAAGTCGAGTCGTTTTGGGAGTTTGTGCGCCAGATGCGCACTCTGCATGACTACCCACTCGATCTGATCGTGAACGCCGATCAGACTCCGCTTTTCCTAGAGATGCCGGCGGAACGTACAATCGAAATGAAGGGAGCGCGGACGGTACACGTGCGGTCTGCGGGCTACCAGAAGGAACGCGTTACTGTTATGCTGGCAGTAACGGCGGGAGGGCTGAAGCTTCCCCCCTACGTTGTGTTCAAGCGGAAGACCGTCCCGAAAGTGGCCATTCCTGCCGGTAAGTGAACCAAACCACGCCTCAACCCGTGCTATTGCCTGCTTCTCTATCAAACCCGCGGGACTCTGACGCTCGCGTTGTTTTCGACAGGTGTGGTGGTCCGTGCACAAGAGAAGGGATGGATAGATGAGTCTCTTGTGCAGGACTGGATCACGCAGGTGCTTGTGCCGTTTATGAAGCCTCTGCGAGAGACTACCGGACGCCGAAGGGAGGCCTTGGTGGTGCTGGACTCATACCGCGGCCACTTGACCGAAGCTGTTGGTCAGACGATGCGCATGTTCAGGCTGTCGAGGGCGGTCATCCCAGGGGGGTGCACACCGCTTGTGCAGCCGTTGGATGTATCGATCAACCGCGCGTTTAAATGCGGTGTGCGTCACCGTTACAGCACGTGGTTCGAAGAAGACGGCATCAACCTGACAACGCGTGCAGGTGAGTTGATGCCTCAACTTGCATTTCCGCGAGGCTGGCTATTGTGCATGCATATGTCCCAACTATGGCTCGGTTTGCAAGTCCTCAATCGTGAATGTAAACTTCTTCCCTTACCACAGGCAATCTGCAAAAGCCGCCTGCGGAGACGGTTCTCCGCTGGATCGACGAATCCTGGGAAGCTGTTCCAGAAGAGCTCGTGAAGAAGGCGTTCGTCACATGCGGGATCTCCACCAGCATCGACGGCACCGAAGACCACCTCATCCTTGCCCACATGCGGGACAAGGGTGAGGTGGAGGTGCTGGACGACGTCAACGAGATGGTTGACGACGAGACTGTCGTCAACCCCTTCTACGCTGAAGTCCCCATGCCGGCCGAGGAGCTACAGGTGGAAGAGGAGGATGACGCCGCAGAGGCGGAGGCGGAGGCGGAAGACGAGGAGGGGGTTGGGCCTGCAGACGGCGAGGAGGCGGGGGAGTGCAGCGATGATGATGACTGGTGGCGTCCCGGCCGCTTTGACGGAGAAGAGGTTGAAGAATGGCATGCAGGGGACGATGATGAGTAGATAGCACCGTATTGCAATTCATGATCTCTGGGTGGTAGATGATCTTGATGTTTATGTGAAACTCTTGGTTCTTGATGGCGGTAATCTTAGTAGGTAGTAGATTGCACCCCTAGATCTATGAAATCTACCTCTAATGAGAACTTTTGCCTGACATAACACCCTCCCCCCGGGTCTTATAAAGAATCACCCCAAAAGGGGGGGTATAGTACAAACGAGGTCAACTATAACACCCACCCCGCACAAGCCACCCGGGGGGTCTACAATTTCGGCGGGTGGTATATCCGGGTGATTAAGGTAAAACCCAATCATAAAGGGATGCGTCTCGGGGAGGCATAAACCCTAAAAAGAATTCCGCCGCCCCGTGTTTAGGGTTGATCCCTCCCGAAAATGAGTCCAAGTTCCCTATGGGTTTTATGTTTTTCTGCCCTGCGTTCTCTAATTTTCTCAAATTTGTGACACGTGGGTGAATGTGGGACCGAGTTCTGTGCTGTTGCCATAACTATCCCGTCTGAGGGTCAGAGGGGAGGAAAGCAGGCCCTACGATATCATGAATTTTCCCCTGAAATTCCTGATTTTCAGGGATTTTTTTTGTACCTACCCTGATTTTTCAGTGTTCAGCTTTTTGAAGGACTGATTTTTCAGCCTTTAGGGGCCAGATGTGTCAGAATTGTGAAGGAAGGAATGACTGAACTAGCAAGCAGGTGGGTACAAGTAGGAAACCTAAAAGTGTTGTACCCTATATGAACTACCCCACTACAGCCTAGTCAGACTATAGCATATAAGTTTGACACACCCCCATAGGCAAATTGGGGGAGAACAAGAGGTCACAAGACCGGTCAAGAAAGGCAAAGCAAGCTCAGGGTGGATCACGACGTCACCACGCATTCTGAGCACAAGCAAATGGCCACAAGGCCAGTTCACATAAAGAGTTATATAAAGGAGAACAAACAATACAGTGAACACAACCTAGCAAGTGTAAGCATGCAGGTATATGTATAGAGATCACAGTACAAGCAGAGTCAAGAAGTAAGCAAGTGAGGCACAGTAGGTACAAGGCCTAGAACAGTACAGAAACACTGATGATCACAAGGCTGAAGTGCCTTGGTGAAAACATCAGCAGTGTTGGCCCGAGAGGCCACGTAAGTTAGACGAAGCTGACCACGCTGCTGCAACTCTCGAGCAAGGAAGTAGCGCAGAGCGATGTGCTTCGTTCTGTGCTCCAGTCTGTGCTCCTGACACAAGGCAATCATGGCCTTGTTGTCGACGTAAAGTACTGGAGGAGAACGAGGCGGCTCTCCCAGGTCGGTCAGCAGGTAGGTGAGCCAGCGTAACTCCTGTGCAGCCATGGCCCCTGCATAGATCTCAGCCTCACAACTGGAGCTGAGAACAGAAGACAAGCAGGTAGACCGCCAAGAGACAGAGCCGGAGCCAAGGCTGAAGGTGTAACCCTGTGACGACCGCTGCGTAGTCAAGTCGTCAGCCCAAGAAGCGTCTGTGTGACCAGTGAGGACAACTTGAGCCCGTCCTCCAAGCACGAACCCCATGCCCG